AATTACTTTACCAACACCTTCATCTGATGTAAGTTTACAATATTAATATATATATTTGAAAGTTATATCAAATTTTCTTTTTAGAATTCAAGTTATCGAGTACAATCAATCACACGTGATATAACTGGTGAAACGAAAGGAACAAGACGACCAACACAACACCAATTACAACAAAATGTTAGTTTGAGTTTTAGCAATGAGGACTCTTATCCATGGCGTTCTTGGCCAGGAACTCATATTACTAATGCACGAAAAGATATTGAATCATGGTGGACTAATCAATTACAAATGTCAGCTTAGTGAAATAAATATGAAACTTCAATAAAGAATGTTTTTAGTATGGATGCGCTTCCTATATTCTTTTATTTGTGTCATGTATCCATAGATTTGTATGTGTTCAATATTTTCCTATTTTACACATATACGAATATTTTTTTAAAACAAAAAAATAAAATATATAGTATAGACTGAATATTTATTATGTCATAGCAATTCTGTGGCTAATAACGGATGGGCCAAAAGCTTTGAGATAAAATATTTGTTTATTTTTGACTACCTGAAAAATGTTTCTGATGAATCAAAGCTACGGATTGTGACCAGAATTTTCCTACAGATCACTTCAATTTTTCGTTTTTCTTAAGTTCTCATTTTTGAAAAATCGATTTTTTAACCAAAAGACGTTTTGTATAGAAAGGAGCTCTTGTCAAAGTGCCTATAGTTTTACTGAAGTAAAAGTCATAGCTTAGTTCAATGTAAAATTTTGTATAAAAGTGTCCGCTCAACAAAACAATTGATTCCAAGATTTTTTGGCACCTTCGAAAAGGAACTTATTGATCCACCAGTCAATGTGATTTTTTAGAGCTTTTAAAAAATTCCTTCACTATTCTCAAACAAAAATGGGCATCATATTTCTGATTCCATATTCAAAGCGAGCACAAGATTTTGATCTTGACTCATAGTTTTTGACACCTTGGAAATACGTTCAAGGAAACAAAAAAATAAACAAATATTTTGTCCCAAAACTTTCGACCCATCTGTTAATTAGCAAACTACAAAGTCCTGAACGGATTAACTGACTTCTGCAGTTTTATACAATTAGTGTTATTGATAAATTTTTAAAGATTGTTTATAAAAACAATGGATGCGTATAACAGCCTTAACTTTGTTGTCACCTAGGAAATATTCAGAACTACTATAATACCAAATATTATCTTTGTCTGATGTAATCATTTACAATAGTGATCACATTTATACAATTTATGGACAAAATCCCAAAAAAAGAAACTAGGATACTCGAGTTTTGCCGTGAGATGTTACAAGAAAAAGAACACTTTAATTAAGATAAATGTTTGCACTCATAAAGAATGACAAACGCTTATGAAAAATGCGTCTACATATACAAGATGGATAATAAATAGTACTACGATAAAAAATTTAAATATCTCCACTTCGGTTCGCTCGAATGCGATGATTTTTCGGTTAGTGGTAGAAGTTTATTCAAAATTTTTTTTCTCATACGAATCACGTAAACAAATACTACTGTCAAATTATATTTTTAGCCTCATTAAAGAAATTTCACATATTTGTCAAGTAAGAAAAATATATATGAAACATTTCATAGATAATTTTAAGTTGCCATCTAAAAGAATAATAAGAAGGAGTCAAAACAAACTGTTTCAATGATACTATATTGGTGTATACAGAACAAGTTTTGCAAATTTAGTCAGTTTAAATACTGGATGACGAATTTATTATTAGAAAGAATTTTAAAATTAATTGAGAAGAAAACAATTGCAGAGTATATTTTACTTATAAAGATTTTTGCAGCGTCATCTATAATAAAAAACTTATCTAATAACTGGACTCGATTTGGACTCTGTGGCTATTACAGGTAGTTCAGGTGCATCAACGTTATGAAAGTGCGTCGAAATCGGCTCAATTCTTTCAGTTTTAACAGACTTTAAAAATATTCACTTCTCCGATTCGAATCACATGGATAGACTTTCAAAAGAGCAAAAATAAGTAACGTAATATTAATAAGAACGAAATCAAAGATACAAAATTTTTCAGTATCCGAGAAACTATTGACTGCATACAAATTACCTAGACTAGTAACAAATGTGATTAGAACGTTTTAAACAGCAACAACTTCGTTAAGAAGTCTAAATACCTACTATTTTTACTTCATACTTGACTTGAGAAATGTATGAATTATAGGTAGCATCTCTGAGAAACATTTGAGATGCTTCTATTGTTAAATAATTATTTAAAGCTGAATTCAAACGAAATTTACTTGAAGAAACAATTAGCAAGTTTTGAAAAAAACAGGATTCTTTTTTTAAATACGACGTTAGAAATTAACCAACTTATTTTGATTAGATGATACTCGTAAACTTTCGCTTCATTTCAGAGTCAATTTGTGTACTACATGATCCAAAGTTTCACATAGTGCAAATCTCGATGACGTACGAGTTAGTTACAATAAACATATTCGAAAATTGTTCTTTTTGTTTTCTATTGAATTTTCATTTATTTACTTGTTTTGCATAGCCTATTCGGAATATTGTTTATAAAGAGCATTAGAGTTTTTATCGAAAATAAAAAGTCATATTTGACTTTTTCTATAGGTAGTACAAAGAAAAGGAAAAATGATGAAGTTTCACTTCTATTCGAAAAGAAATTTCAATGACAGAAGAAAATATTGAAATAGAATTTTGATGTTCTAAAATGTTGATCATAGAAAAATATACGAATCAATATGCTTATTCTTTTACACTTTTCTGAACGATGTTCATTGTTAAATAAATTGATGCATCAATTTTTTGAATTCGAACTTATTTCCCAAACAGATACTATTCAAATGAACGACACACAACAAACAATTTGAAATCATTTAAAATGATCGTAGTCACTTGCTTCATCCATTCATTATTCATTTCATGTCAATATACTACTGCATTAATATTTTTCCTTTTCATTTCTTAATAGCTTTTTCTTTGTTTCTCTCACGTTAAATAAGTAACTGATAGGCATATTCATCTACATATGAATAAACAAACCACTCAATTATGAATTTCTTCTCCAGCAAAGCAAAAAAAAAGAGGAATTATGTTTTTCAATTGTAAATAAAGTCATTGTTTTCAATGTATTCAACCATGATTCTTCTCTCTCATTAATCGGATGAACAATTTCTATCCATAGTTGAATTATTGTTTCTGTTTCAAATGTAATAGTGATTCAACTATATGTAGAAACTAATCATTCAATCGATAAGCATTCTCTTTTTTTCTTCTTTTCTTCATGTCATGAATTATTTTTACATTGGATCAGAAAGAATAATTCATTGCATGAATCAGAGAATCTTCTTATCTTCTTTTCCTTTTCTTATCAGGCTATCAAATGGTTCTATATTTGACACAAAGAAACTCAATATTGAAACACAAACTATATCGTGAAAGTCTTTTATTTACAGTATAAATCTACCATTTGGACATGTATTGGTTCTCTTATCATGCTTAAATACACCAAACCAATATTGTTGTAAGAAGTAGACAAATCAGGATGATTTAAAGGAAGGATACTTAGTTTCGCGTCACTTAGGTGCTTTATTGCTTTTTCTAAAATCTAGTGTTATCGGTAGTGTCAGAAGAAAATGAAAGAATGAGAAAGAAATGAAATTCATGGCAACATAGTCTCATACATTATGTCACATTTTACTTTCTTTTATGATGTCTGGAAGTTTTTTCTCTGCTTCTGCTTATATATTTGTGGACATGAGTGAAGGGAACAGGCTCAACCACGTACAAGCATAAGTACATCCTTTGGAGGGCTATTTATAGGCAAACGAAATGATGTTCTCGAGAAGATTGGGAAAAAAATGGTACAGGTTCGATCGCAATGCGTTCATCTAGCGTTTGAACGAGTATTTTCTGAATTTTCATGCTTGAAATCGTCACTACACAAAAATAACAACTTTGATGCATACGTCAAGAGAGTAAAATAAAAAAAAAGGAAAAAACTCACGAAAGACTACATAAATACTTTGTGAAGCATCACATTAAGAACATTGATTTTAATGTATCAATAGTACAAAATATATGTAGTGTCAAGGTATACTCTCAGCTATTCTATTTCATTTATTGAGATCTGAGCAATCGTTTTTGAATAATGATTCTCTTTATAGAAGGACAAATTTTTTTCGCAAGATTGTTTCAAGGTTAGTGAATCATTTAGATCGATAAAGTCCATAAAGTCCATGAACTCTATGATCACCAGTCAGCAATTCATTTCCATGTATGCTTAGGATTAGTTGAGAGAAGTCTCGTTGCATGTGAACATGAAGAAAAATATCCAACTAGTGATAAGATTGAAAAACTTGTTTAAGATAGGTGAAATAAGAATGTAATAAATATAAACGTTGACTTTCAGAAAAAGAAGATAATTTACAAACAGTCCTGTAAGTATGAGAAGAACATAGGATGACAATAGTATTCTACGAAGTTTTGGATATGTTATTCTACAAATACAGTAGGCATTGATGATTACTAATGTTTGCCATATTTTTAATACGAACTTGATAATAATAGTTGACCAAGCTAGTTTGAAATTGATTGAATAGCAAAGAAATTTCAAGAAGCTGGATCATTGTATAAGATAAGTACTATATATCAAGTGAAATTTCAGTCTCTCATGTACTTTCCGTATTCTGTCGGACGAGAATTTATCGACTTTTTTTTTGTAGATTTCTGTCTGAACTGAGAGAAGTGAGTAATATTCTACGTTGTCCAAGAAAGGCTTCAGGTTCCGCTCAACATTCAAATACAACGATGAATATTTAGCTCTTATATGGTCAGCTATGGTAACTGCTAGATAATCTATGAAATATAAAATAAGAATACGCATTTTTAAAAAAGATGAGTTTTATCCACATTGACTTGTGTTTATTTATTGTGAATATTTATATCTTTCTTTAAAAATAAATAAAATTTCATTTCAAATTTTTATTTTGTCATTTCTAATGTTGTTGTATTAGTTAATTGTGCTCTAATTCTTTCGTCTTTACGACTCATAGCACGTCGTCGTTGATAAGGTATCCACATTGTACAAAAAAGAATTAATATTTGATAAAGACAAAATAAAGAACAAAATATGAAAAATGCATAACGATCTAAACGACAAAGAGAATATTCTGGATATAGTGAATGATGAATATCATTAGTTGTAATTGATGATTGTGATGCAGTTAAATATATTTGATTATAATAAAAATAACTAATTATACCATGAAAGACATTTATAATACATAAAGCAACAATAGATGATATAGCATAAACTAAAAAAGAAATTCAAAGAATAATTCTATAGAAATTAATATATATTATATTCTTACTATCTAATGCTGTTAAATATGATATTGTTCTTAAAAAAAAACAAAAAATAAATTATGAAAAAAAAATTTTTTTTTTCTTTGGTTATAAACTTACGGAAGTGATTTATTAACAACCCAACGAAATGTTACAGATGTTAATAGAAGAGTACATGTTATTTGTAGACGACCTTGAGTATTTGATGGTGGAATTGCAAATGTAGAAAGAGCTGCTGATGTTATTAAAAAAATCAAAAAATATGCATTCCTATTGTTTTTTTTATAAAAACAAAAAGATAACAATCAACAAATATTTTCTTATCTTGATAAATAAAACAAAAGCATTATATTTACCAAATATAATAACCACATTTTCGCCCAACATGACATGTACAAACAACAACAGGATGTATTTGATTATAGTTTAAAGAATATTCTTCACGATGTTGTTCATATGTAAATTCAACATGTTCATATAAATGCCATGATTGTTGATCACGAAATATCATACGATTTACACCAGATGGTTTTTGTTTATCTTCTATAAAATAGATATCATTAGTTGTTAATGGTGTTGTTATTGATAAAGATAATTCTTGCACATCATATGGAAAATGATTTAATTCCATACGTTCCCAAAATACACCACGTATTTTCTGATGTTCAGTTATTTCAATAATATTATCTTGATCAGTTTTATTTGTTGAATACCATTTCTTAAACAAGAACAAAAAAAAAATTTTATTTATTTATTTTTAATTAATATTTTACTAACGTCATGTTTTAAAGAATCTCCAAGATGATTGAGAACAATTAATTGAGGATTAAAATGACCCATTTGAGGATCATATTTTGTTCCAATTTTATGATCTTCATCATACCATGAAGCTTCAAAAAAAATTTCAGCTGTATATCGTTCATTAAGTGTATCAATTTCTCCAACACGTGAATAAATACATCGAACACGAATTTCAATTGGTGTTTTTTTTAATAAATAATTTTCATTTTCATTTTCATTAGTTTTCAATATCGTTGCTTTTATTCCTGTTGAAATTTTACATTCATTCGATGATTTACCGGTAACAACAGATATATTTTCATCGTGTATAAAAGTTCTAGAAATTGATAATTCACGTGAACAAAGCTTATCTATAAAACATAGACTATTATCAAGTGGTGTATTTTGACGTGTTGATAATGATCTTTGTTCAGTAGAAGAAAGAGGAGGAGTAGAAGATGAAACTTGATTTGTAGAAGATTCTTGAAAACGTGGATATGATATTGATATTGATGGTGTTTCTGAGGAAAATATTGTGTGAAGTGATTGATGAGACGATGATTGATGATCATCTGAATGACGATTGTCGATACTATGTGGTACAGGATCAGATAAAATTTTTTGATAATGAGAATGAGGTTGATAATGACCAGCGCCAACTAAAATTTAAAAAAAGAAACAAACAAATATTATGAATATGTTATACATATGTCAACTTACGTAATAAATTACTGTTTGCATTTATTGCCATTTTTTGATTATATCAATTTCTAATAATTATTATGAAAAAACATTTTTTTTTTTATTAAAATGGATATTATGAAGGAAATGGTTAAAAAACTAATATTATCAGAGAATTCAGTTAGTACATCACTAGATCTTTGAGTAGAGATGTGCGAGAGCAATTTTAGTCCAGATCTTGGTGACCGAAACCGAAGGCGAAATCTGAAAGTTTGCTGAGGTCAGAATTGGAACTAAAAGAAAAAAGTTGTCCTAACCAGAACTACAGATTATAGTTAAATATTATAATGTTTTACGTAAATTATCTTACAAATCATTAATCAGAACATAATTCAAGAGAGATGATCCAGAAAGGTGCTAATCGTCGACTAAACAAATCAAAAAGCGATTATCGAACGATTTTTCTTTAGATGTGATATGAATGAATTCTGCAATAGTTTTCTCTAGACCGGGATCGAAACCGGAACCAAAAAAAAAAAAGTTGATCCGGCACATCTCTATTTCCGTTGTTCTCACTCAATCATGAAAGCACAAAAAAAAACATAAGACTGATTCATTATATTCTAGAACAAAAGATTCCATTTTTTCTTTCTTTTCAATTATCAAAAAAATTCTTTTTCTTTTTACATGATTTGTTATTTACAGACAACACTTACATGTAATTAAAATATTAATCTATCAATTATATAATCACATATGAATTTATAATTCTAGTTTTGGTATTTTCATCTAGAAATATTTTAGTAATAAAAATACCAATTTGTTTCTTTTTCGTGTGTTGTATATGGATTAATACTTTTAATGGACAATAATTCTTTATATATAGAGAGACGTATTCAAGTCTCTCTGATTTCTTTCTAGAACAATTGTGCAGTTTATGATTATTTATAGCATCAATAATACGATGCTGTACATAATAAATTAGTGAAAGAAATAACAGCAATATGTAACATATCGTTCTAAATGTTGTTAATAGGATTCCATCAAGAATTCCCCAATGCCCCAGAATGATGATAATAAGGTTGTAGATAATGACAATACCATTAGAAGATAACCAATAGATATATAATCGATATATTTCTTACGAGTCTTTTATCGGTACATATAGACTTTGATGTGGTATTCTTGATTTTAATTATTTATATGCAATGAATAATATAAATTTGTAGACGTATTTTGGCATTACTGATAATTATTGATTGTTTGTCGTCTATTCTATTAAAATATTTCTGGAAGTTTTGTTTATCAGTCTAAGAAATTTTCAGAAAGTTTTTTTTATTAAGATCTATATGCCTAAAAGGTTAACATGGACCAGTTAATAAAGATAAAAATATTGAGAATACAACCAAAATATGCTTTTTTTCCGGATGAGCTAATTTGTTTCTATGTATTTGTTCTTGTTGCATTAATATTTGGACTGTAGGAATATTTTTCTCTTTCTTTTACTGCTAATTTTTCCTTGTCGATTCACTTCATTCGCTATTGTTATTATAATTATTAGCTTGAGAACTATTTGTAGAAGATTAAATATCAGGAAAACTTTTGTTCTACGTTAAATGAAATATGCCCTTGTTCTTTCTAAACATGATTAATAAATCGAATAATTTGAAAAATTGTCATTTTTTTTTTATCGAATTCTAAAATAATTTGTAAAACAATCACTTGTTTCTTCAATGATGAATATAAAATTCTATCGATATGGAATTTTTCAAAGATATTCTTCTGATCACTTTTTCTATATTTTATCTATTCATACATATTCAAAGATCATTTATTTGTTTAAAAATAAAAAAAAAAAAGGTATAAGAGATAGTAGATTTTATATAACGAAAATTACTCATAAAAGTTCGATATTAATGTGAACCTAAAAATAATGATATAATTAACGCTTAAAAAGATTGAAATTTCATGCATTGAATGCGTCTATCGAAAGTAGACAAGCGATGATTGATGACTTCTGAAAACTAACGGAAAAACTTTATACTATAAGAATAATAGCTTGTTTCTGTAAGACTTTATGAGAGAAGCATATGCTAAACAGATGCAAAAGAAATAATAGACAGAAGCCACTCAGTAATCTTGAGATTATTATAAATATGCATTGTTTTTCTGTTATATGTATATCGTTAAAAACAAAAATATCTTTTTATTATTAAATTTATCATAGCAAAAGATTCGTATGAAGTTGTAAATCAACAGCTATCAAAACAATGTATTTGATCTATCAAAAAATATTTAAATTAGAGCATTCGTCTGCATCATTTGATTATACATTCACAATTATATAGTTCTCTACGTATTTTCTTACCCTTATTATAATTGGGTTTATTGCAACAAAGGAAAAAGAATATTATTCTTTATTATTTTTAACTGAAAATACTAATTCTCGAAATGACTTTCCAAAATTTTATATCCCCTAGTTAACTTAAAATTTCTATATATACATGAGTCACTCTATGTTAGCTACAATCAATGTTTCTCAAGTTAACATATGTTACAGAACGAACAATTTATATCCTTTGATGCAAACTCTTTTAAAATAATATTTAATTTTTCATTGTTTATTAAGCTTTTAGGAAAAAATTTCGAAAATGAAAATCCTCATTCTAGAGAATTTCATAGATTCCATGTTTCGTGGAACAGTTAGATCAATCGAGCTAAAATTTGTTGAATATAGTTTCTAATTAATTTTTCTCAAAAAAAACCGATTTGTCAACTTCAGCAGTTCAGTCACTAATATTCTATAGATCTCACTGATGTAGATGAAAATCGAAATATTAGGAAAGCTTGATGTCTAACATCTCATAACTAGTAAGTGATAGAGACCTGACATTTTTGTCGATGAGAGAACTAGGAAAGATTTACCTTCATTAAAAAGTTGAGCTCCACAGGCCTTTATGTTTGTCTATGGTAGGCTTCTGAAAATTGCTTTTTTGGCGGAAATACAGATTTTCTGTACTGATGATCTGCTAAAAGATCTTACTATTGGGCAGCTGATATTGGCACAATAGAAGATCCGTCTGTAGTCTACAACCTTATTGAAAAAGTCACTGTGGGATCTTCAAAAACAGCTGAGAACAGGGCTCATCTTTGGGAGTCTTCATGATGCGGCTAACGGAATTTCAGTCCTCTATCGATGTCCATTCGCGAGATAAAAGCCACGAATATTGCCTAAAATAGTGATTTTTTCCTCTATGAATGAAGTCCACCGATTACTAAGGAGTCATCGATCGAGCTAGAAGTTTTCTTGTGAATAGGACTCATTGTTATGTACAGTAACAAAAAAGTTTCAGCTCGATCTATCGAGCCATTCTTGAAATATAAAGTCTCCATTTTTGGAACTTGTCGTAAAAATTCATAGAGAACCAAGGATTAAATATTTTTCAAAACAACTTGCGCCAAGATTCACAAAATAGTTCACTCTACAATATATCATAAATTGAGCTATATCAGATAATCTTAGTTGAATACATCTCTTGGATGTTAGCCGTAGCTTATACGGATTGCCTCATATATATATATATATATATATGAGCTTCCTTTGTGTAGGATTCATGTATAAATAGCTGTGAAATACTATAAAAATTAGTAAATCAAGTACTCTCAGGCTTTTATACTTCTCAGCATTAGTTGTGATTGCCAAGATAGTTAATTTGGTTCATAGATAAACAGTTTATTTACATTGATTTTCAGTTTGAGTCTTATTTCAAATTAGAACACCGTATTTTAAGGATCGATTTCATCAACGACAGTATGGGTGTGTAAGAAGAGAAGATTCACACCTACTTCATCTTATTTCATTTAACGATCGTTGATTTCACATTTCCGAACCGTATATAACTGTAGAAAACTGGTGGTAATTGGTAAATACCACCGTTGAATGCGTCAGCTAAACAATTGAATTACCTATTTGTGTAACCAGGAGATGGTGAATGGTAGAGCAGAGCCCTACAATATTGGGAGAAATCCATGAAATATAGTGATTATTACATTTTTTTTTCTTGTTGTGATAGGGCGACACCCGGTCTAGCCCACTCTTGGCCACGCCACTAGGATTATTATCGGTGGGTCAGTTGTTTTTCTTCGCAGCATATAATTAATGACATGGATAATCCAAACTAAAGCCGATGTGTCATACGAAAACGGAAGATAGTGCCCTCTATGATAGATATTGTTCGCTTCAAAGTATATCTTTAAAGCGAATCAAAACTAACATTTACTATTGTTTTTTGTTTATTTATTAATTTCTCGTTTCATTTCATTTCAACTGTTTCAAGTTTATTTTTAATGTACTTCAGGAAAACATGTATTTTATTGACTGGATATTTATTATCAAAAAATCAATATCAAAAATGAAACAAAATTAAGAATTATAAATTAATTTTGTTTTGTGCATGACAAATGTTTATGATATATCATTATTAGAGATACTGAACAAATACAATTATTATGAGAACATTGAAGTAATATGCCTTTGTTTTTTAAATTGAAAAGAACGAATTTCTTTTTCTTTTTTTTACTTCTTATTAATTTTCATCTTCTTTTCTACGGAATAATTTAATAAGCAAAGAAAACGAGTTTTTGAACTTTTCTTTTACATATGTCATGTCTTTTGAACATTTATAGGATGTAAAATGAGTAAGTACATTTGGTTACTTTTCTTAATTGTTTGTTTTTTTTTTATTGGAAATACCTTAATAACTTTGTTTCTCATATTTTTTTTTTTAGGTTAGTCGTTGTCAAACGTGGAACTATCGATATGATTAAAATATGCCTTTTCTTTGTTAGTTTTTTTTACTCTTGAAATTCGTTCTTATTTTTTTTTTGTTTTCTTCAAATAAGCATAGAACAAATAATTTCATTTTAGTTTTATTTAGATTTCGTGTTGTATTACAACGCGATGGGTCGATCACGTAGTCCTTCGACCAAAAAAAATAAACGACAAAAATCATCACATGATCGAAATAGATCAAAAGATCGTTCAATAACTAGTTCTTCAAAACGACATAGATCACGTTCACATGATCGAGAAAAAGAAAAAAAATCTAAACGGTAACATATCATTTACGTTATATATAGTATGTGTACTAAAATTGTTCTACAAGGTTTATTTTTAATCTTTTTTTCCGCTGCCGTAAGCACTAGAAAAAATTCGAATAGAGTAAATTATTTCTAAAGGAAATATAAGGAAAAAACCTATTATCAGGTTCTCAAAGATAGAAACTCTAGAAAAATAAAGAACTAATTTTTCAATATCTAGAACAGATAAATATAATAGAACGATAGAGCAAACAATTCTCTATAAAATGATGTGTCTCCGAATTCTGTGTAATTTTTTTTAGCTGATATACAACAACCATACGAAATTTCTTAAAGTCGGTTTTTTTTTCAATTTCCTATAGAAAAGCCATTTTTTGATCTTCAATCAAATTACTATATCTCAGTCAAAAAGCGTCGCAGAGAACTCAAAGACACATAATTTTCTAGAGCATGATGTACTCTATCATTTTATGTAGTCTAAACAAAATAAAATTTACCTGTTCTGGATGTTGAAAAACTAGTCTTTTAATTTTCTGAATTCGGTGTCTTTGGGGATTTGATAATAATTTTTATTTTGTTATATTTCTTTTCAAAATGATTTTCTCTGCTCGACTTCTTTCTAACGATTATGGCAACGGAAAAATAATTAAAAATAAACCTTGTTAAATAATTTTAGTATTTGCTGTATATATTAAATATTGTTCTTATATTACATATAGATTTCATCGTCGTTCGACCAGTGTATCATCAAATGATGATCGTGAAGATTCATTATCAATAACGAATATTAGTCGAAAAACTACTATAAATGAATTAGATGATTTAGCATCTCGTAAAAAAGCTGAAATTGATCGACTAGCTGAATTAGAACGAGAACGTACACAATTATTGTAAATATAAATTAGAATTTATTTGGTTTCTTTTATTTTTATTTTTTTTAATAGACGTCAAAAAGAAACTCGTGAAAATTTAATTCAAGCTGAAGTTGATCGGCGTGTAAAAGATATTGTTGAAATACGTGTACGTGAAGAACTTGAACGTCGTAAAGATGAAATTGAAAATGAAGTTAAACGACGTGTTGATGTATTAAAACGAACAATGGAAAAACAAATGTTAATTGAAATTGAAAAACGTAATCATGAAGAAATAAGAAAATTAATTATAAAAGAAGTAATTATAAGAAAAATTTTATTTCATTATTTAAATTCATTTTATTATTTTTTCTAGGAGGAAGAAAGAAAAAAACGTGAAGATCTAGAAAAAATTCTTGCTGAAAATGAACGTAAATTGACTGAAGCTAAAAAAAAACTTGTAAATTATTAGATTATAATTAAAAAAAAAGACTTTTTGATGATATTTTTCATTCTTCTTTTAGGCTGAAGAAGAAGAAAAATTACGTACTGAACAATTACGTTTAATGGAAGATCGAGAACGATTTGAACGACAATTAGGCAAACAACATGCAAGAGAACAAAATCTTATTTTAGGCAAAAATAAAACACGACAAAAAATTTCCTTTACATTAAATAGTGTTCAGTAAAATAAATCATCTATTATTTTCATTTATATACATATATATATATATATATATAACTTTCTTCACTATTTGTGTATTAAATAAAATGTTGTTTGAATTTACTCCTTGTTTTGTTTTTTTCCTTTCAGATATTTTTATTTTTTTTTTTGAACAAATAAAATAATCATGTCGAATAATGAAGTAAATCTTTTATCAAATGGTGAAAATACACAAGAACAGGAAGAACCTGAAACACCAATTGAAACAATTGTTATTGATCCAGATTCATTGGTTATTGAATTAACTGCATGTCGTCTTCGATCAATTGAAGGACTTGATGGTTTAACTAAAGTTGAAACATTGAATATGCGTCAAAATTTAATAAAGAAAATCGAAAATATTTCACAATTAACAACACTTAAACATGTTGATTTATATGATAATCATATCGAACGAATTGAAGGTTTAGATTCATTGGCTCAATTAAAACATGTTGATCTGTCATTTAGTATGTAAAAATAAAACTAATTAACGGATGGTGCAAAAGTTCAGCGTTAATTCTGTTTTTAGTATAGCGTGACAACAACTTGTTGTCAAAACTTGATAGTTCTTTTATTAGAAAGGATAAAGTTTCACTTAAAAATACTTCTCGAAGGTTGAATAGTTCTTTTCATGCTTCTGGAATTTAGAACAAAACTTTCATTCAGTAAAAAAGTCTGTATTTTTTCAAGTTTTGTAGCGCTATAATTGGGCATTGTAAACAGTTAAAAATAATATTTTTAAATTATTAGCGAAGTTTGAAATTGCCATTTTTCTAACGACCTTTGTTAGCAAAAAGTATTTACAACTAATAAATGATTTCAAAAAATAAGATTTTTTCCAGCAATCGAATCAAGTGAAATCCCATATTTTATATTCAATTAGAATTTAATGAACCCGTGGGATTCAGCTTATTGAACGTTTTCGTGATTCGGATTCGGTCAAATTGTACTTTGATACTCTCAATGAAATTTTCTAATCGGAACTGGATAGTCTCCGCGAAGATACGAGATGATATTTTTTTTTTCCAGTTTTTTGTATTCGGTGACTAGCGCACTCTATATATTCCTCAAACGACTCGAGGTCAAGGGGTCCAAAATTTTCGGATCCTACTCGGCCAGGTGTGGGTTCAGGACCAACCCGATGAGTCCTCCACAAAAGCACATTATCTAAAACAGAATATAGTTTTTCTACTAGATATGATGAGAAAAATTTCATTAGATGTTATCGAGAGAAAATGAAGTTTTTAACAAAAACTGTTTCCTATATGCATCCTATGGTTTTGTAACTCGAATATTTTGATACTACTAGAAAGACCACGTCACATTAGTTACACGTACATATAACATGCCTAAAAATTTCGAAAGCCGAATACAAGACAAATCAATGAAATGTACTTCTTACCATTGATTTGGTGTGAGGTTACATGGTACTTTTCAGTCTTCGATAAGTATTTTGAACAAAACTTTGTTCTTTCTAACAAGAAAATAATTAAGTCTCCATAATGAGTTGTTGTCACGCTATATTGAAAATAAAATTAATGTAGAACTTTGGTAACAATCAATTTTATTTCTTTTTTGTTTTTTTTTTCTCTTAGACAAAATTTCCGTTATTGAAAATTTATCTACATTAATTAATGTTGAAACTCTTTATATAGTTCATAATCAAATACGAACAGTTGAAAATCTTTCGACATTAGTTAATTTACGTATACTTGAATTAGGCGATAATCGAATTAAAGTTAGTTGATTTTTATACAAAAGAAATTGAAATATAAATTTTTAATATTTTTAGAAAATTGAAAATTTAGAAACACTTGTTCTACTTGAAGAATTACATTTTGGTAAAAATAGAATAGAAAAAATTGAAAATTTACAAACACTTACACGTTTACGTATACTTGGTTTGGGCGCTAATCGAATCTCAAAAATTGAAGGTTTAGAAACTTTAACTCAATTAAAAGAAATTTATTTATCTGAAAATTGTATAAAAATAATTGAAAATCTTGATGCAAATATTAATTTAAATGTACTTGATCTAGCAAAAAATCAAATTGAACATCTCGATAATCTTGAAAAACTTCATAATCTTAAAGAATTATGGTTTAATAATAATCAAGTGAAGAATACTGATGAATTAGATAAACTTGTACCAATGGAAACATTACAATGTATTTATGTTCATGATAATCCAGCATTTGATCGTGAAGAAAATTATCGAGCTAAAGTTTTATTACAACTTAAACAATTAACACAATTAAACGCAACTGAAACACGACGAGCCGCACCAATGACATTGGATTAATGAGTTTTATTTTGTTTTTTTTTGAAAGTTATTGTCTTCGCTTATTGTCCGTTTTATTGTAACAATGTGTATTATTCTTTAAAATGTCTATTGTTCGAGCAACGAATTTTATCAATATAAGAAATATTAAAGTGGAGCATGATGATTGATATAATCAAACATTTTCAAGCTTTTTTTTTGTACGATGATCACTTGTAACCAACTGTTGCCCGCTCTTTATCTGTACTACATGCGTATTTCTCATTCACTTTTCGTGGAAAATTACTATTCATATTAGGTCACGCCCTTTTCATTGCTTTTATTGCGTCCTGCTGACGCCTAAATTCTGAAAAAAACGAAATTAATATCTATGTTTCTTTTAGAATGATATTATTGTTTCATTGACGATTATATATTACCATTCATAAATAAATTATTATTATCATTACATATTTACGATATTAACGGACATCATGGGCACTTTATATGAGGTTTGTTAAATGTCTTAAAAAAAATTCTTCGATTATTCTTCTTTTTTTTTTTTTGTTTTGCTTTTTTACATTAGAATAATAACATGTCGAACAATGATGATAATAAGTATGATCGATCAGCTAAATCTTTTCCGACAGAGGTTTGTTTTTTTTTCTTTATTCAAATGTAATAACATATGAATATTTTATTTTTTCGAAGGACAATCATGCTTCGAAAACATCATTAATCTTTTCACTTAATGAAGAAGTCGGTGCTTTAGCTAAAGCATTACAAGTGTTCGATGTAAGACATTAGAATTTTATTCCATACTTTTATCTTACTCAGCAGTATAAATAATTCGTTTAGTTATTATCTTTTTTCAATTGTTAAATCAGGTTTGAACTATTAATCATAAATCATATTGCTTTTCTCTGCTTGTAATTAATTCTATTAATAAGAATAAATATAAACACATGTAAAATTACTTATGGATGAATCCGTGGGGTTTCTACCACTTTCAGGAAGAAGGGTATTCTATGCCAATGTTCTGAAAGAAATTTTTTTTTCGATTTTAATAGTCTAGTTAGACGGATCATAGTCAAAAATAGTCTGAGGTAACAATTAAAACTTTTTTGAACATATAAACTGTGAAGACTCATATCACTTCTGAGGAATACTCTACACATATAAAGAGTATCCCATGATAACTGGTGATAAATTGTTAATCATATTTTTCACGATTTTTATTGACATAGGGAGCTGAAATTTTTATCACATATGTATCTAATCAAGATCTTTTATTTCTGAAAGTTTCAGCTCTCTAGCGAAAGCTAGTGGTGAAATACATCAATTTTCGTATCGAGTTTTGCAAATAGTTTCATGGTAAAAATATATAAAAATCGGATACGAAAATTTATGTGCTTCAGCCTTGTCGATGTATTTCACCACTAGTTTTTCGCTAGAGAGCTGAAACTTTCAGAAATAAAAGATCTTGAGTTGATATATATACGGTACAAATTTCAGCTCTCTATGTCAATGAAAAGTATGAAAAATACGATTAACAATTTATTATAGAATACTATTTATATGTGTGAAGTGTTCCTAAAAAACGACTTGGATCTCCATACTTTTCATGAGTAAAGAGATTTTAATTGTTTCCTCAGACCGTTTTCGACGATGTTACGTTTAACTGGCCTATTAAAATTAGGAATAAAAATTTTTTCCTTGAAAGTGGTAGAAACCCCACGGATTTACCCTTATACTGACCAGTTTTGTAATATTTGATGATTACTTCTTTTATTTTATTCAATGATTTTTAATGAAAAAAGAAAAACAATGTTTTTTAATTGATGATATTATTTTAGAAACATGGTATCAATTTACTTCATATTGAATCACGATTATCTCGTCAAAATAAGACTGATCATGAATTTTATGTTGTATGTGATAATACTAGAGGTTCTGTAGCTGATGCTATTAAACAATTACGTGAAGAATCGAAATATCTTCATGTACTTTCACAAGATCATAAAATAGTGGATGAATCAAGTTAGTTGATATATATTTTTTTTTGTTATTCAATAATAAACATTTCTATATATATATAAATTCTTATTTAGCACCTTGGTTTCCACGAAAAATGCGTGATCTTGATCAATTTGCAAATCGTGTTCTTTCATATGGAGCTGAACTTGATTGTGATCATCCTGGTTTTCGTGATATACTCTATCGAAAACGTCGAAAAGAATTTGCTGATATTGCTAGTCAATATCGTCATGGTCAACCAATACCACGGTTTACTTATAATGAACAAGAAATTGCAACATGGTCAACTGTTTATCGTGAATTAACACAACTTTATCCAACACATGCATGTAAAGAATTTAATAATGTATTTCCATTACTTATTGATAATTGTGGTTATAATGAAACAAATATTCCACAATTAGAAGATGTTTCACAATTTCTTCAAGATTCTTCTGGTTTTCGACTTCGACCAGTTGCTGGTTTGTTAAACTTTTTTTTTTCTTTTTATTTAATATCAAATTTTATTTTGTTAAGGTCTTTTATCATCACGTGATTTTCTAGCTGGTTTAGCTTTTCGTGTATTTCATTCAACTCAATACATTCGACATCATAGTGTACCTATGTATACACCTGAACCTGATGTTTGCCATGAATTACTTGGTCATGTACCACTTTTTGCTGATCCAGATTTTGCAGAATTTAGTCAAGAAATTGGCATGGCTAGTTTAGGCGCACCTGACGAATATATTACTCGCTTAGGTAAATATTTTTATTTTGAGTAATTTTTTTGCTATATTTATTATTATGAAACACGATCTCAAAAGAGAATTGAAGTATAAGAATAGAAATTTGTTTTCTCCTACAGACAGCAATAGACGCTAGTCAGAAACCATCAAAGACCGTATATATGAATAACATCTTGTTATAATATATGAACTACTTAGATATTGCATTTCAGAAAGATGATAAAGAAATGTGTTCTAAAATAGATAGAATAAAATGATCTTCCTGTGATTAGTAAGAGGAGCTACAGCTTGTTTCATCTTTTTAATCCTGCAAGAATTACGCTAACAGCTTTTTATTTTAATAGCGACATTGTATTGGTTTACTGTTGAATTTGGTCTATGTATGGAAAATAATAACAAAAAAGCTTATGGAGCTGGACTTTTATCATCATTTGGTGAATTACGAGTAAAGCTTGTTTTGTTTTAAATTTTCAAGAGTTATTCCAAATATTTTTGTTAAGTATTGTTTAACGGATACGCCAGCAGTAATACCATTTGATCCATTTCGTGCTGCTCTTGAATCTTATCCAATTACAAATTATCAACCAACTTATTTCCTGGCTGAAAGTTTTAAAGATGCCAAAGAAAAATTACGGTAGGATTAAATTATTAAAATAAAATTTTGAATTATTTTATGCTGTTTTTCTCTTTACTAGTCAATATGCAATGACTATTCCACGAACATTTATCACTCGTTATAATCCATATACACAAACCATAGAAGTAGTCGATGGTAATGATCAAATTGTCAATATGGTTCGAACGCTAAGAAGTATGAAAATAAATATAAAGATTTTTCTTATTAATTTTTCATTTTTTTTTCCTTCGAAGATGATATGGATATTATCGTTGATGCACTTCAGAAGACGGGATTAACACGACGTTAACTTATATTATTATTATTTTTTTTTTCAATAATCAATTTTCTCTGTGTGGTTTTTTTTTTTTTTGTTTTGGTGATAGATTATGTTTAACATATGGAGATGGGTTTATATATTATTTTGTTTTAGATTTTTTTTTATAAAAAAAATAATTTATTTACTATCAATGAGCATCATGCTATCATTGAACATGGAACAATAAAACAAAAGGTGTATGTTGAAAATAAAATAATACAATATTTAACTGTATATAGATATATATACGCTTTAGATATAGAAAGAAAAAATTATTTTTATCTATGCGCATTTTATATTCATTCGTATGAAAATATTTTCTTTTTTTTTTTCTTTTTATTTTGATTGTATATAATTTGATTTAATTATTGATATCATGGATAAAGCAAAACGGTTTTTTAATCCCAATGAAGAACAACCAAAGGAAGAAAATGCTGTTATGTCTGAGGTGAGACAATAATGGATTGAAGAAAAAATCATATTAATCAAATGATTTATTTGTTTGGCCTTATTGTTAATCTATTCTTCTAGGCTAAATAAGTCACACATATAATTCTTTTTCTATTTATTCTTTATATAATTATTGAATTTCTTGAGAAAAATGTTAATTCACTTCATGCATTTGTTTGTTGTGGTTATCTCGTGATTATTATCATCGTTGTATTATCTACTAAACTGTAGAATCAAAACACATCGTTCACATGTAAATTCTCGTCACGAACAATAATTATAATCGAATGAAAATCACTGTTTAAATCGTACTTTTGAGAAAATACAGTTAAATAAATTGAAGAAGAGTTATTTTATTTTTTTTTAAATTTACTATAACTCTCATTTGATAGTTGTCGTCTACTCAAAAAAAAAAGATTTTTAGAGATTACTGTTGATATATGTATGTATTTATGATTATTGCTTAAATATTTTACTGTTTTGTTTACTAGACTATTTGAGAACTACGATAGAAATGTTTTCGTTTACTATCTATTGCCGAAGGCATTAAATTACTATTCAAGAATTCAACTGAAATTAATAATGATCACGAGATAGCCACGATAACAAATTTCGATTTCAAGTACATATTTGTGTATTATATAAATTTGCAATTGTCTTAAGAAACTTGATGATTGTATACAGAATAAATTTAAAACAAAAATTAAAAATGTGTTATTTATTTCGTCCATGAGGATAGATATTTATTTTATTATGTCAAATTATTATAAATGTATTCGTTTTGTAGATATCCGGCTTGTCATGGGATACACGCATAAAAGCTTTTGGTATCTGTTTGCTTATTGCTGTGTTGCTTGGTGTTGGTGTAAGTAATTGTTATTACTAGAAACAAAAGAGATTTCGTTACTTTGAACTATTTCAATATCATTTGGAAAAGATTTTTGCTAAATCATTTAAAATGAAACAAGGAATGAATATAAGATGATAAATGACTGTTTAGAAGTTTTCAATTGAATAAGATTTTATCATCAACATTTGAATTTTTTCTTTATGTCGAATATTGTTATGACATGTATGCGAAAAGCCATGAGATAAAGTCTGTAGGTAATTACTGTTGTACCATTGAGTAATTATCATCAACACACGAAATTTGTGAGCTATAACTTATTGATCAGTGGGTGATTACTCAATGACCCATGGCTGGCTACACCACTGTGTAAAAGGCTATGACGGTATTTTTCTTTTTATGATCAAACATAATTAATTCCTATTCTCATACGAGAATACAGGCAAATCGGAATTTCGCAGCTTGAATTTTGACAATTAAAAGACTGTCAAAAGTCTGATGGAAATTGGGCAAAAGTGTCGAATCTCTACACGACCCAAAACGTTCGATTGATAATTTTATTTTTGTAAAGTACCTGCAACGTGAAATTTAAGTAAGGCATTTTGTTTCCTTCTTTTTTTATACATAGTTCGATAGAGTTTGATCTGTTGATCAAGAAAAAGTCGTTTTTTTTGGCAAAAAATCCTTTGTTCTCAATATTTGCAAAATTTTCTATTGTGTTTTTTTTTGTTGAACTTCTGCGACTTATTTTTTCAAATTCAGCATCAAAAGCTAACTACAAAAATGTGATTAAATCGAATCTTATCCAAAACTTCTGTTGATGATAGTGACCTAAATTGGTTCTATTCGCATGCCTACAGGTCGTTTTTGTAAACCTATCTAAGTTTTTTGTGGAAGTGATGAGGCCAAATATTTAATCTCACTTAATATATCATACCATCAATCATCAAATAATACATTGCTTTTCTTTTCTTTGTCGAGAAAAGCCATTTTTGCTAAATTTTGGACAAAATCGCTAGAATTTTTCCTGTTTTCCTTCATTTTCTTCATCTAAACTAAGATTTCATGAAATAAGATTATGACATTCTCAATCAGTGTACAAAACTCCCTCGACTGATATATACTTTTGCCTTTTCTGTGGACTTCGGGTTTTTCCAGTTTTCACCGAAAAATGAAAGGTAACAAGCGTTTTTGGAAACATACGTCGATCGAGTGAGTTTAGTACGCTGATTGCGAATATCATAATCTTATTTAATGAAATCTTAGTTTAGATGAAGAAAATGAAGGAAAATAGGCAAAATTCTAGCGATTTTGTCCAAAATTTAGCAAAAATGGCTTTTCTCGACAAAGAAAAGAAAAGTAATGTATTATTTGATGATTGATGGTATGATATATTAAGTGAGATTAAATATTTGGCCTCATCACTTCCACAAAAAACTTAGATAGGTTTATAAAAACGACCTGTAGGCATGCAAATAGAACCAATTTAGGTCACTATCATCAACAGAAGTTTTGGATGAGATTCGATTTAATCACATTTTTGTAGTTAGCTTTTGATGCTGAATTTGAAAAAATAAGTCGCAGAAGTTCAACAAAAAAAAACACAATAGAAAATTTTGCAAATATTGAGAACAAAGAATTTTTTGTCAAAAAAAACGACTTCTTAGTTTTTTCATTGTTTTTCGGCCTGAAAAAGCCATTGACAAAAGCTAAAGAGTACTTTTTCTTGATCAACAGATCAAACTCTATCGAACCATGTATAAACAAAAGAAAACAAAATCCCTTTCTTGAATATCACGTTGTGGGCACCTTATCTTTTCGATCTTTGGTTGTTTAATAATGATAATACAAACTTTTGATGTATTTTAGGCGGTGATTATCTATTTTATTGGTGGTAACCTTTCTGGCTTTGCTGTTCTCTATAGTTTTGCAGTTATTTTTGGTATTGCATCGTAAGTTTATAAGCAATATTTTTCTAACTTTTTTGTTCGATTTATAGTACAATATTTTTGATGGGTCCACTGAATCAATTGAAGAAAATGTTTGATGCTACTCGATGGATTGCTACTCTTGTTTTTCTTGTAAGTTGGATTTTTTTTTCAAATAGCTTACGGAATATCTTATCTTTGTTTTGCAGGGATCTATTATAATGACACTTGTGTCTGCTCTTGCAGTAAGTCAAGTTGAAGTAAAAATAAAGATCATCAATAATTTTATTTATATATTTAGATAAAAAGCGGTGTCCTTGTTCTTATATTTGTTATCGTTCAATTTCTTGCTCTTGTAAGTTAAAGTTAGAAAACAAATATTTACAAGATTTTTTAAAACACGACCTAAAAGACGTGTTGAAGTATCCAGAGTAGAAGTTTGTTCTCTCTCTCTCCCATACAGACCATGACAGATGTTATTGATATACGATCGCAGACCGTATATCAAGAGGGACTTGTTATCATATATAAACAACTCCTTTAATGCATTTGTAAAAAAAACTAAGTAAAAGAAGAGTGAAAAAATGTGCCCCAAAATAGATAAAATAAAACAATCTTCCTTGTGATTAGCAACAACAGTTACATCGTATTTTACATTTTATTCCTGCAGGAATTGTGCTAATAGCTTTTATATTTTTTTCTAGATTTGGTATACGATTAGTTACATTCCATTTGCACGGTAAATTCGTTTTAATATATATATTAATTATAGTATTTATTAATTTTTGTTAATTCAGAAATGCTATCAAAAGTTGTTGTGGAGGAATAATGGGTGTATGAAAAATAAATATACTCATTTTCTTTTATGCTAAATCTTTTTTTTTGTCTTGTGAACATATGATTGATGATTGTGAAAAAAACCTCACACATCTACTGTTCTTTCACTTTATTTTATATGATATTATGTGTCCAAAGTTAGTGAATGATTTTTTTCTTCACATGTGATTATTCTTATTCTTACTCTTATTATTAAAAAAGAACTTATCATTCTATTTTTGTTTATATAGCAAAAATTTGATCTATGTTGTCTTGTTGATTATTGTGATCTATTTATTTCTAGAGATTGCTTTGTTTTTTTTAATTAGATGATTGGAAGAATTATATAAATATTGTTTTTTGATGAAAAATAGTTTGAATGGAAATGTCCTTTACTGGAATAAAAAAGAGTCCACTTATATCTTTACCATTTCTTAAAGTGAGCTTATAATAAAAATGTTTCTAATGAATATTTCATTAATTTTGTTAATAGAAACGATTACGTTGTATAACTGCATTAGGTCTTCGAAATTTAACAGTGAATGATTTTAATTTTACAGTTCACTTTACATTACATCGAAATGAAAAAACCGTTGGTAAATAAAATACAATATGTATTTATTAAAAATATATAGAGTACTTTTTTTTCTATACTTTTATAGCTTTCTATACAAGTGAACTAGTAGAAAATCAACGTGTAAGTTGTATAATGGAAGGTGTATTTTTGTTTTTAAATACTATTCTTTTTTTTTATTTTAGAGTCCAGAATGGTTTTATTTAAAATTTCCAATAAGTGTTCAATGCTTACAAGGTAAGATTTATTGGTTTGGAATATATAAATAGACGATACGTTATGTGCAAGAAGAAACTCATCTGTAAAACAGAAAATTGTTTGTATTTCTTTTAAATTATGCTTGTATGAAACATTTTTCCATTCATGAGCGGGTGAATTCTCGTTTCGTCGAAAGCTTAATTGATTTTCTTGTTTCGTCGAAAATTTTATTATAGCTGTTTTTCCAGTGTTCCTATTTCGTCGAAAAAATTTTTTGTAGCGTTCTCGTTTCGTCGAAAAGTAAAATTGAAAGAAAAGATGAAGAATATAAGTAGCTTATTCTAATTGCTTTCGTTCTCTTGAATAGACTAAGAGGCATCAAAGAAACAAATTAAACTCTATCGTTACATCATTCAACCAACGATCCAATACCACTACGAAAAATTTATTTGTAAATCGAAATCCTTGATCCAAATATTTAGTTAGTGGTTATAAACAACAAACCTTAGTTGTGGACAAATAGGGGTTAGGATGAGAATGTGTGATTGTTTCGGTATATATGAGAACGTGGGTGATAGCTTTCTGATTGCCTACCCACACATTCAACACTATTAACATCTCAACATTTTCACAGCTCGGTGTGTGTAAATGTCAGCATTTTTCCCTTTCGATATTAGTGAGGTGACTCCATTAGCTGTGCAATCTTTGTAATGCTCTTAATAAATGTTTTTGAGATCCATCCAGAATCATTTTTTTGAATTAGTCTGTTAAAGAAAATGAAATGATTATGAATAAGCTAAGCATATTCTGCATATTTTCATTCAAATTTTAATTTTCGACGAAACAAGAACACACGAAAAAAAAAATTCGACGAAACGAGAAGACACGAAAAAAAATTTTTCGACGAAACAAGAAAATCAATTAAGCTTTCGACGAAACGAGAACTAACCCATGAGCGAATGTTCTCAACTGTTTAATCGCTTTTCGCTTGAGACTATAGCCATTCAATCGGTTATGATGAGTAGTAAAAGAGTCTGTTTTAGCTTGATTTTTCGGTCTTCGATTATTAAGTTATGGATGTTGTACTCAATATTTACCCTACGACCATAGGATCGCTGAGAACTTGAATGATCGAATTTAAACCCAAATCTTGTCCATAGGTAGGCTTTATAATCAATAGAAATATCCCAAAATTTAAGCTAGAACAAACGGATCCATATCAAGATATGAACTTGCCATAGAAACGTCCTTCTTTTGAAACAAAGCCCAAAATAAGCATTACAAAAATATCTTAGCAACGATACATTCGTTCTAATTCAAATTTTGAGATGTTTCTAGTGACTATAAAACCTATTGATGGACGAACTTCAACTGACAATACAATCATCCAGATTCGTGATGATCTTATGCTCGTAGCGCGAAAATCAAGTAAAATCATCGATATATTAGAAGACCCGAGGTCTGCAATGAAATTCTTCGAAAAAAAGTCATATTTTTCGATAGTCTGACCAACAATTCTTAGTTTCAATTCATTTTTACCCAATATATCGTTAGTAAACAAGTTTATTTCACTTATTCCACACGCATAGAACGAGGAAGGAAAGAAAGGAAGACAATCATTGGTAAGAAGAGTATTCTTACAACAATAAAGTCAACATATCCTAACATCTTGGTACGATGTTCAATAATACTCTTTTTTTTCTAAAGAATGCGATCTGTCACTTGCAACATTTAACCTTCTCAATAGCTCAAAACAATAAAATAAAATTTTTGTTGTCAAACTTATTTAAGTCAGTTGGTTATATTGAGTTTGAATAGTATCGATGAAATTCATTCACAGTGAAATATACCACCAGCATAGTTATTAGTTCCAACCTAATTTCAATGAATTCAGTTATCTACGAAGAAATAGTTTATAGGAGAACAGCAATTGAATACACATTCAGTATTCTTTTCTTGTGTTTGTTTCGAAAAATGCTTATAGATCGTTTTGCGAAAAGAAATACGTTCTCAGACTCAGAATGAGTACCTCATAGAACAAATCTCGACGTATATTTCTAAAGGTATGTCTTCTTCAATTATGAATGCACTATGCTTTTTTAATAAAAATGTTTCTGAATTTCTAGAAGAGAGTGCAAAGACAAAGAGGCCTTTTAATTGGGTACACAACGAGATTTTATCGAATATGTTCCTATTTTAGAAAGATCTCTTCATGTGTGACCTGTCTGAATGTGCACTGCGTCAAGTAGGTCATATGACCATGAAAATAGTTTCTTTTCGTTTAGAGAATCTAAAGAGTTTCTTCAGGATATGCTGCAAAACGAGCTCTGCTGTGACTCTACGATATGTTTTTGATGAAAAAATACATTTTTCAATAGACTATTCTTTCCTATTAACTGTTTTTCCTTGTCAAATTCGATATTTATGAAGCAAATAAATTTTTTGATTTATAAAATAATTTAGATTTTGTAATGCGTGTATGGATAACATCATCGGAGAATTGTCGTTTATTTCTTGAATATGATGTTCATCTTGATAATTCACTTGTCCCTGATGAACAGGTAAGGTAAGATTTTATTTGAATATATTAAATTAGAATAAATATTTATCTTTATTATTTTCTTTTCTCTTTTTTTTTTATTCTTTTTTTCAAGAAAGATGATTCAAAAAGAAGTAATAATAGTCTTTGGCTTGAAATGTTTGGTTATCAATTTACTGATAATGAATCAATATTAGATAATCAAACAAATATTCAATTAAATGTTACAGGATCAACAATTATTGATAAAAAATCTAAACGTATTCATTTAGTCAAATCATATAATAAATTGAGTATTTTAAGGTTCGTTTATATATATTAGATTCAATATATGTATATATATTCATGTTAATTTCAAAAATTTAGAATGATTAATGTTATTGATGCTATACGTGCCGAAAATCGATCCTCGATACAATGTCTTGAACGTTTACAAACATTTGTTAATGCACATGAAGATCACTTATCAAAAGTAAGAAAAAATATATTTTATCAATCTTTTTTTCCTATAATCCATCTCAAAAAAACAAAAGAACGTCCGTGGTCGTTTTTTTTTGAATAACTTCTAATAGGAACAATGAAAAGAGCTGGGATTTCTACCATACAAGAGAGAACACTCGGGCAATCGAAATCTGATTGGCTAGCAATTGACCAATCAAGTAAGTTCTTAGCGAAGATTATGAAAACGTGATTCTGAAGTCATTGCCTATTAGATTGTGCAGTGTAATACGGACAATCGTTAGAGAAGTTTTCTCTTTCGATCTACGTAAACCTCAATGTCGTAGCTACTTCCATTTCAAAGTTACAAGAGTTTTGTAAGACATCTGATTTCAGTATAATGACCTTGAAAGGCTCCCAACAGGAGAATGGTAATGTTTGTTTCCAGTTTCAAAGTGATCTGACACCACTGTTTGAGTATTTTTGAAATTTCAAAAATTTCCTTTCTACAGCATAAAAATTCAAGTTTTGAAAATGTTCAAATAAGGGTCTCAAGTCGCTTAGAAACTGAAAACAAACATAACTAGCCTTCTGTTGGGGCCCTTCCAAGGTCAATTTGCTGAAAATGGATGCCTCAGAAAAACTCTTGAACGAAAGCAGCTGCAAAGTTGAAGTTTACATAGATCGAAAGAGAAGACTTTTCTCTACCGATTGGCTGCATTAAACTTCAGAATCATGTTTTCAAAATCTTCGCTAAGAATTCACCTGATTGACCAATTGCTGACCGATTAGATTTTGATGGTTCGAAAACCGCAACTCTCTTTGTCCTTCCGATCGAAAGTTATTCAAAAAACAACTACCAATATTCTTTTTTTTTTTAAATGAATAATAGATTAAAGAACGTGAATCCCGTCAATTACGTATTGAAAATTTGAGACAACGTTTACAATCTCAAACATTACTATATGAACAGCGTTTCAATGCGAATCAAGAAAAACAAAAAATAATACAAGAACGAAGTAAATCATTGATTTATATAAAACAAAAAACAAAAAAATTTAAATGTAAACTTTTGTTTTTCTTCTAAGAAAATCAATTAGAACGAAATTTATTACAATTAGTTCATAAACAAGAAGAACTTAATTCATATATAAATCATTTAAATCAATCAAAGTATGAAAATATAAATTAAATGTTTATGAAATTTTCTTGAATGTTCTTCTCTTTTTGTCTATAAAAGATGTCTTCTTCATGATTTAATACAAGTGATTACTTATCGACAAAAAGATATTATTAATGAAATATATCGTTATGTTTATCCAATTGTTAATGATAAGAACGATGAATATTTGATAGGAAATATCAAATTACCACCTGCTGAAGATAAAATATATCACACATCATTCAGTAAGTTATTCTTTTCTTTTCTTTTTTTTTTTTTTATATAAAATAATTTATTAAAAAAAATCTGTATATAATTTTAAGCTCGTGAACGTGAAAATGAAATTGAAGCAGCTATTGGATATTGTGCACATTTTGTTTTCATTATTTCACAATTCATTCAATTACCACTTCGATTTCCGATTGAATGTTATGGTACATCACCAATAAAGATCTATGATTATACATTACAACCAAGCGAGTAAGTTTACTAGAGTTTTTTCGACGAACTAGAATAAATGATAATGCTATTTTTTTATTCTCGGAAAATTGTATGTCATAATATTCTAAGCCAATTGAGATTCTTAATAAGTTTTGTCATTGTATTCTCTATGGGATATTCAGATATCTTTTTGCAGCAAAATTCTTATATACTCTTTTCTGAATGCTATACAAGACCTACATTTTTCTTCTTGTTCAATTCTAATTTGTTCCAACATAAATTAATTCTAGACTTAATCAATCATTTGCTCGTGTAATCTTTTTATTGACAGATCTTGAAAGAACATCAATTATTTTTTTTTCGTTACCGCCTATAGGATTGTGAATGACAGTAGATTGATATAATCAAATTTTCTTTTCTTTTCTAGTTTTACATTATATCCAAATAATGATACTAATACTTTCCAGTATGGTCTTTTTTTGCTTAATCGAGATATTGGTCAAGTATGTTATTCTTTACAACAACAAAAAAAAAAAAAACTTTCGAAATAAGACAAAGTCATTTTGTTTTCTAGATAATGTATCATTGTCATTTAGGTGGTCGTCATATAGATTATCGAAAAACATTAAAAAATTTAAAAGACTTAGTGGAACAATATTTCACAAATGCCAATAATCATAATCAGTAAGTAATTCATATAAGTACTATTAAAACTTATTTTTCTATTAAATTCATTGATTACTACAGTCATCAAAATGGTTCAAATTTTTTCGTAAGTTTATTTGACTATACTGTAATAAGACGTCTTATTCTCTTTACCTTTGTTTAACATTATTCTTTGGTAAATAGACAAATAAAATACACTAATTCTTTGTTGGTTTTTTTTTATTTTATTCTATTTTAAATTTCTTTTTCTTTTTGTTTTTTTTTTCTATTCAGAATTCAATTTTACACTTCAAATCAACAATTAATCGAAACGACAATCCCATCTAATAGTTATTGCGTTGAACGACGATTGATATTAAATAAACAGAATTCAATTGATAATTCTTCATTTTCCTTATCGCTTTCAACAGCATCATCATCTATTATTGATTCAGATCAAAATGATGATAGTAACAATGTAGATTTATTTCCAACATCAAATACAATATCACCTCGATTAACCATGCAATTTTCACATCAACAATAATGACAAAGACAAAAATAACATTTTAACAAAAAAAGAAAATTATTTGATAAATTGTGATATATATATCCAGATTGAATTTATTCCGTGTGAAGAACTAACTCAGTGATTATTATTCTTGTTCGCACTGTTGTCGTTGTTGTTTCTCTATTTTTTTGTTTTGCATATTATTTATATTATAATTTGAATTTTGACAGAAAGAAAACGATAACTAAAAGATATAATGTAATTTTTTTCTTTAAGATTTTTATTTAAAAAAAAAAACAAAAAGACATATCAATTAAAAATGAGTCTTGACACTCAAAAACTTGATGTTAATCAACGTCAACAAATCATGACTTCAGTACAACAACAATTAGCTATTCAAAATGCTCAGGAACTTCTTCAAGTAATATTTAATTAGAAATTTTTCATTTCATTACTTTTCTTTTTATTGTATGATTTAAGAAATTATCTGATAAATGTTTCAAAGCTTGTATTCAAAAACCCGGTAGTACTTTATCTAGTTCTGAACAAGTATTTTTACATATTACTTTTTTTTGTTGTTATTTTATTTGTTCTCACGATATTATTTATAGAAATGTATTAGTCAATGTTCTGATCGATACATGGATGCATGGAATATTGTTTCACGAGCATATGCTGAAAGAATTAAACGTGAAAGCAATCGTCATTGATTTTTTTTTTCAAACTTTCTTTTTTTTCCTGTTATTTTAGGAGAGTTTAATAAACATCATTCTCCTGTGTTTGTTTTTCTTTTTTTATATTTGTGTCTTTATTTATCTTGAAAATGAAGACAAATAGTAGAATGTTTACGTCCATAGGAATTTTGTTTGATTCTAGATGGCATCTTCATCTTATACTGGAAATGGTAATGGCTATACAAAACGTTCTCGTCGCAGTGAGCCAACCATTATCCAAGTAAAAGAAGAAATGATTGAAATGGATAATAATAATGCTCCATATCAATCACCTTATGAGCAATTATTACAACAGGAAACTGTTCCAATACCAGTTGTTGTTCCACCAAAGAAACCTAAAGAACAAAAATGTCGTTGGGATCGTTGTACACATACAGGTGATATTAATGGATCTTTATTTGAACATCTTCTTGAACATGTTAATGCTCAAAAACATAGCAAAAAAGAACAAATGTGTCTTTGGGTTGGATGTCGAGTTTATAAAGTAGCATCACGAAGTGTTAATTATTTAGAAAAACATATTCATAAACATACAAATGAAAAACCATTTCGATGTGTTTTTGATAATTGTACAGAACAATTTACATCACAATTTGCACTTGAAAGACATGTTCAAACACATTTAAGACAACAAGATGCATCAATGCTCTTTGATACTAGTGGTGAAACATCAATGATTGGAACAACAGATTTTGATGTTTTAAATGGTGATGAAAATCATCGTTCATATCTACGTGGTGGAAGTATGAATGGTTCATATCAAAATATGCTTCTTCAACAAGTTCAACATCAATCAAATGAGAAAAAAGCTAATCGAAAACGTCGAGCTAAAATTAATGGAGTACCTGTTGCTTACGGTAATTAAAATAATGGGTAGCTTATAAAGAATTATACTGTTAGTAACTGTCAGCTGTTATCCACACACACACACCTAACCACACTATTATGTTTAACGAGAATTTTGTTTTCATATGAACAGTACCTTTCTTGGCAGCTTTCCTGTTCACAGCTATACTTTGTCGTTCTGAGCATTGTAATTACTGTTCATTTCAGATTATAATATGGTCCACTATTTTTTTGAATAATTTTTGATAAGAACATCATAGAGACCTGAAGTTTTCACTATTTAAGAGAGCAGACTCGGCCCTAGCAAAGTATATCGAAATTGGATTGGTCAGCAATTGACTAAATAGGTGAGTTATTGGTGAAGATTTCTGGAAACAATATTCCGAAGCTATTTTCCTTTCGCTTTAAACTTTTAATAGAGCTAGTCCACAGAAAAAAGTCTTCCCTTTCTATCTAAGCAAAGCAGACATTCCTAACTTGTTCCACTCAAAAGTTATAAGATTTTTTTTAAGATTCCGGATTTCAGCGAATCGGTCTGTGATCATCCGAAACAGCAGTTAAGCAGGGATAATTCAATATGCTGAGTTGAATTGTAATATTTGGTTTTAGGTTCGAAATGATTTGATACTATTATTTCAATATTTTCAAAATGTCGACTTCTTCGTTGCATGAAGATTGATTGTGAAATTTCAGAAGTATTGAGATAACAGTATCAAATCAGTTCGAACCTAAAAATAAATATTACCGTTCGATTCAACATGGTTAATTACTCTTGTCTAACTGTTTTTATGAATGATCATCAAGGGGGAAACGACTGACTCTTGACTTTTTTGACTTAATTGACTTAAAAATGACTTTGATGACTTTTAAAGTCATCAAAGTCATTTATCTTAAAACCAATATATCTTGCTATATTCGAATGTTACTTTCAATATTGACACCCTTCAGCTTTATAAACAACGAAGACAATCATAATTTCAATCTCTGCTCTCATTGCTCTCATAATTCGTTGAAAATGTAGGTGAAGTTGAATCCAAATTTGACTATTTATGGGTAGGATTTATTCAGAAACTTGTTCCAATGTTGTTATTCTTATCTCAAGTACAATTCGATGATCTCTATCCAATGGTATAATTAGGTTTTCCATAACTCAAAGCATGCCTCAGAAAACATCACAATCTTGAAACTTTACTATTAGGATCTCGGAACTTATAAACTAACAACTATTCATGCGATCAATTTTATTAAGAAAATTATGTAATTTACGACTTAGTTTGCTAAAAATTAAGAAAAATTTAACAAAAAACTTTGTTTTCCTGTTCGTGGTTCCAGTCTGGTTCCAGTAAGTTTTTATGTTTTGGTCTTGATAACTCTTTAATTTTTTGATCTCATCTATCTCTCGTCATCACGAATGATGGCGATGCCGAGGACCGAAATCTGAGTGAAGATGAAAGATCTCAATAGGCGTAGTGAAGTTGAGGATAAAATCAGACTGAATAATTGCATAACATCATAATCTTACTGAAAAACTAACCTTCCCTAAGAATCCTTTACACACACTATAATTATTTATACTTTGTCACTCAGATCTTCTCTTTCATTCTCACCATCATTCTTAATTCCATTCTTGTTTGCATTATTGTGTTTTTTGTTAGCTCTGAAGTTCTCAAAATGATATGCCAACTTTGCCTGCAATATATATGTATCTGTTCGTTTCGTCTTTTTTATATGCGTATGTCTTCGAAAAAAAAGTAAACGAAAATTTGGAGCATGTGTCATCGAGATTGAAAGAAAAGCATAGCTTTTTATTCTTTATTAATGATCCTTTACAGATGTTTTTCGTGACTTTCTTGACTTCTATTGACTTAAAATGACTTTCTTGACTTAACATGACTTTAAAGTGACTTAAGTCAGTCGTTTCTTCCTTGACAAAATTCGTTATTTTTTGTTCTTTATTAATGTTACTTTAGCTCTTCCGGTCGGCTATTTCAAAAATGCCGTACCCCTATAGAACAAAATGTTTTAAAATGGAAACATCCGGCCTAAAAGGATTAGTTATGATTTTCATGACTTTTTTGACTTTCTTGACTTTCGTGACTTTATTTTGACTTTTATGATTTAAAAGTCGCTTAAGTCAGTCGTTTCCCCCTTGATGATCATAGGTTAGTTTGCTGAAATCGGAAGTCTCAGTAAAAGTTTTGCAATTCTAGAAAGAAACAACTTAGGGAATTCAAAAAACAGTGGACCACATTACATTTTGAAATTAATAGTAGTTTTTAGAATGGGCCGGCTGAAGCGATGAATTGAGACCGCCTAACAACAAAGGCAACATGGATAGACAAAATAAAACACTGTCAAAAGATTGATACGATCATGTTTAGTTCAAAAACAATCGAGGAAACTATATTCGTTAAATAAATTCTATTATTTTGTGTAAAATTTCAAGCGCTATCGATTAATAAAAAGAAAGTGTTTCAATCAAGGAAATCATAGAGAAGAAAATTCAAAAATATTAACAGTATAATTCCACATGGACTACCCGTTAATTGATTTTATTATGCATTAACATTTTTTTTTCTTTAGCTGCAAATCGAGATTGTTTTACTGATAGTGAAATCTTTCATTTGACACGTCTCTTTGATACATGTCCTTATTTTTCGACCGATAAATCTGGTACAGTAGTTGTTTTACAACCCAAAGTAATTTTTCTTTTTTAAATATATTCTGATTAAATTACTTATTGCCTATTGATTTAAAGATTACTATGAAACGACATATTGGCGATCGAACTGAACAATATGTTGAATGGACACCTGAAGATATGTAAGTATTAATAATAATAATAAAAAATCCTATTCGTATTCTTTGAATTGTTTTTCTTTTTTCTTTAG